TCGCTTCTACAATGGCGACCGGCTCGAACATGTACTATACAGTGAACTCGTTACGAGTTTAACAGTTAGCCATACTAAGAGCAACTATAACCGATTTCAACAGGAAAACCTGGCAAAACCGGTTCGCACAGCCAACTGTACTGATAGTCCCGCACGTGATGTCATACAGCTTCGACCAATAACATGCGGCGGCAAATCTCGCAATGCCGCATGCGGCACCTGTTTCTTGTTTTCGGCAAAATAAAGTTATTTGCGTTGATTTGTCGAAACTTTCGACTTCATGTTAGAATGCGCCGCATGAAATTACGTATCCTGACACCATAACCTCGTTATTTTTTAAAGTGGTTCGGTGTTAATTGACTTATTTTAACGCAACAGCATTAATGAGGCGTAAGTAAAAATAGACATTTTTGTACAATATAGACGACCTCATACCAGCAACTGTGGAGTTCACTCACCAAAGCCGTCACGTGAAGGTGGTTTGCCTCTGCAAGCGCGAACGCAATCTACGTCGCGTCGCTCGTCGCTAACACGTGCATTTTGACGCCTATGCGGTATACATCGCCTTCGAAGTCGAAGCTTAGGAGTGCACTAATTTTACTTTTTAGCCTTGCTAATGCAGCTTAATGAGCCTATATGCACGAATGGGTATGTCCATTTGGTTTGATTCCAAGAAATAATTCTAATGGAAATCTCTAATGGTGTTTCATAACTGACTACACTGAACTAAAAAATTGAACAAGGCGACGCGGAAGTTTAATGACCGGACTAGTCGTGGGTTCTAAAAATATTCCCCTTTAGATACGAAGTGTGCCCACTGTGCAGGTAACAAAAGAAATAAAGAATTCACAGTAGCAACACCTCTATTACTCACCTCTATTACTCACAGCTCGTTGCAAGAAATTTGGTGAAACGAAGACGCAGGCTACTTACGCCCTAGGTAACATCGACCGCAGAACAGCGCATTACTCTAAAGCGGTGTACCTGTCAAATATTGTTCACAGGACACGTTGCCCCGCCCCTAGTGGCTAAGGAACTCGGCTGCTGACCCGCATGTCGCGGGATTGAATCCCGGTTGCGGCGGCTGCATTTTCGACTGAGGTGAAAATGCAGTGTTAAGTTTGGCCTGGAAACTCGTCTGAGCAGATGCCTTTGTGCGTGGGCCGATCCACTGGCAGCAGCGTGACTGATGGCCTCGTCGACTCGTCGGGCGACAGGAGGGCTGGCGTGGCCGGCGCCAGAGCTGACAATAGGAGCGGCGCTCCCTTTTTATCCCCAATCACCAAGCCGACCGGCCGACTGCCTATGCTCGTCAGGCATTGTACGTGCTAGCCGGAGGACGAGACGCCGTGTCGCCACGACGCCGTTAACCATTCGAGAGAGGCCAACAAAGACAGCATCTTCCTGGAGGAGACCGACGGCCACCGCAAATCACCCCGCTGATTGAGCGAACAAAATCGGCGGACCCTTTGAAGTATGCTGCCAGGATCGTGGGAACTCTCGACTAACGGCACATACACGACGAGGAAGAACCCTGCGGGCGCCACCACAGTGCAGTGTTCACGTGGACCTTGCATGCTCGCCCCCCTCACCTGTGTGTGCGTGATTGGTGTTCGACTCGGAGAGGAGGAGCCCGACAGGGCATAAAACGACGCAGCAGAGTGCTGGACGTCGCTCTGAACTATGTAACGTTCAACCACCACGCTCGTGGTTTGGGAAACCACTATCCCTTCTTTTCTGTAAATATGTGTAAATAATGTCATAAACCATGTTTGTTTTCCGTATCATCTTGTCAGCGTTCAGTTCCTCCGTCCGGATGCCACCACCTGCAACTTCTTCCTTCCCACCTCTTACAACTGGTGGCAGCGGTGGGATCCCATCAGCGACCTTCCCCAACCTTAACAGCAGCCAGCTCACAACCAATGACACTGACGCTAATGCCGGAATTTCTGCGAAACGAGCTTTTCAACGCTATCGCGAAAATGACTGTATATGAGATATAGGACAATTTTGTTTCAAATGGCGACACTTACTGGTACATTGTTGGAACCCCCCTTACCCCCGCTCATACCTCTTAGAGTTACTGTATATGAAACCTTTAAATGTAGCATATATCACTCTATTACCTCCTTCACTGCCCCGACCTTAGCGGGACTAAATTGCGCGATGGCGGTCCGCTTGCTGAGGTGAGCTTGAGAACCGTGCTTCACAGCCTCGCGTTCGCAAGTCGACATTGAATATGAGCTTTGAAGCATTGGTCGAGCACTATTTTATGTTATAATGTAATGTGTCGCGACTAAGCTTTGTCGAACTCTCGACGGCGAAGCGGTGCAGTCCTTCAATATTAGGATCAATTTCCGTACTTCAGAATTGCTTTGACTAGTTCATTGTTTTCTATGGTGTTGTATGTTCTATGGACAGGTCATTCTTAAATAGTTGTTTATATTGTGGCAATCAATTGCTGCCTCATCTCTTGTCAAAAATTTAACGAGTCCCTTCATACTAACAACCGGGTTCGTGGCCGATTGCCAGTAGTGGCTAGAAGCTAAAGAATCAAGGCTCGAGCAAGCAAGCATGGCTTTGAACTGTTCTTGAACCATCCGGTTCATGGTCGATCCCACGATGTGGGTTTCCCCAAAATGTTGAAGAACCGACCAACCACCTAACTGGCCTGTCTTGCGCTTAAAAAGGGTCGGGTTGATGCCACAATCTGATTAGGGGTCTCAAAAAAACAGCGCAAAAAACACGGCCATGGAGCGAAAACACACCACAAGCACTGTCCTGTGTGTTTCCATTCTGTCGCCGCGTGTTTTTCTGCGCTTATTATCCTAAGTACTCGCAACCAACTAGCCCAGTCAGCTAATTTACTGGTTAGGGGCCTTTTTTCGTCGGAGCTGATTCGGAGTATCGAAGAAGGTGAAAGTGCCGCTGGCGCCCATGCACGTCTTCGTTCTTCTAGCAGCCTTCGTACCGGTGTAGAGGCGCCTATATTCGTGGATGAAATGGCGCTTCCGCGCGTTATGTCGTCCACAGGCAACTTTCTGGATCTTTAAAGGACGTTACACGGGACGTCTTTGGTTCCCCCGGCTATTGCATCACGACTGTAGCTGGGGACATGGTATAATTGTAATTGTAGCAGTAGCCTTCGTCGCTGTGGTTGTTTCTTCTTGCCGGAGTCCACACTCGGGTTGCAAACATTGCAGCCTCTGGCTATCTCGGTGCTGCATCAGGGCTTCGCTGTCTTTTTCAGGCTGGGGACTTGGTAGCTGGCGTTTCCTAACAACATCTCAATCTGTTTTAGCTTGATTTCTGTTTACGTCACTGTTCCGACCACGAGAGTATGTTTGTTTGTAAGCTGGATACCACGACATGTGCCCATTCTGAGGGAATGACCAAGGAAAGAATAGTAGCCTATGTATGGTAACTGCACTATAGGCTAACCAACAAAAATATTGTAAAAGAAAGAAGACATTAAAAAGTAAAGAGTGAAAAAGTGAGCAACAAAAAATGGAAATAAACGCTATTACAATGACGATAATCTGATTTCCTTGGTATGCAGACCACGAAAGTATGCAGGCGTTGTAGCAAAATCTTCCTTCTTGTTTTTGCTCACCCACTTTTGTGGCTCATACCAACTGTGGGAGATTGGCTAAAAAATTAGTGGTTTTGTAAAAACATATGAACGTTATAGTCATGGAGGTTACAGAATAAAAACATTCTTCTAATAAAGTGACACATCCTCTTGGTACTGATTAAATGCGTGCGTAATACAGCCATCAAGGCATGGAAAATCACAAGAAGCGAAGCCACGGGAATACATGGCGGTTATAGGTGCCTTGCAATGCACAAACAAGCTGTTCCCATCATGGCAATTCTACCTGCTGACATATGTCATCTTCAGACTAAAGGTGGGCGCTGTTTCGCCTTGTCATTGAACATTCAGTAGTTTGAAGTTTAAAGTTTACTCAGTATTCAAAAAACATATGCAGAATATAGACATATTATTACAGAAAGAAGTCCAATAGTGTAAACACTGTAGAGGGACCTTATTTTAATGGTGAAAAAGGGAATAGTACTTAACAGCAAAACGCATGCAGCATAATATTCATAGTCGTTAAAGAGTATATGAATCTAAACAATGGCGATTCTGAAAGTTATACAATTTAAAACACAAAACTATCTGGAGAAGCAACTGTGGTATAATAAAAGAAGACCCTAAACACAACGACCTAATTATAAATTTGTTTGAAGAACATTGAATAAAGGATGCTACTCATTAAACATCAATTTTCGAAGCTGATGCTTGAATGACAAAACAGAAAATGCAGACTTAATGTTATGCGACAATCAATTCCAGAGTTTGATTAAAACAAAAGCTATAGTCTTTAAGAACCATATTTTGCACTTTGGAAAGTAAAAAGTTATTTGAGAAGAAAGAGGTAATGTTAGAATTAGAAAGGTCTTGAATGAGAAGCAATTTTAGAAGGCTGGAGTCCCTAACTACTTGATAAGCGAATGTGTAGACATTTATTTGTTCAGGTTGTCAATATTTAGTATTTTTAGTTCCCCCTACAAATCTGTAGCATGAGAGCGTCGGCAGCTTCAGGTGAAAATGGGAATGGCTTGATTTTGTACATGCTGGAGAAAATAAAGATGACAATGATATGTTTGGCCCCATGAAGCAATGCAATAGTTAAGATGACTATGAATGAATGCATAATATACAGTGCTCAAAGTTGTCAAATCAAAATAACATCTAGCTTTTAATAGCAGCCGAATATATACTGTATTTGATGAAAAGAAGTATCTACCTTTCTATGCAAATAGAATATCTCTTCTAGGGTTTTTAGTGCGTGCCACACGCTTCGAAGGATACGAAGAAGAGGAAGAACAACTTTGCTGGCAGCAGTCTTTTTCCTGTCTTGGGACTCGTTGGCACTACATACCTGGCATCTTCCAAACGGACGAGGGGCAAAGCATCGTGACCGGCACCGGACACCATGCCTACGTCCAACAAACCGAAGTGCGGCTCCATTTCCACTCGCACCGGAGCGAACATTCGCAGTCGGTCAGCGAGGCCTAGACCGACAGCTGGTGAATCCATTGTTCGCACCGAAAGCAGCACTAGCAGAAGCAGCTCAAAGACAGCGGGCCGAAATTCCACGGGGCCTGTGAGCCAAGCCGCGGAAGGGTCAACTTCTCAACCGCCGAAGAATGCATCCACAGAGAAATTGACGGGACCTACGAGCCAGTTCCAAGGGTCGCAAGTGGACACCGCGGTGCTGCCAAAAGCGCCAGTGGACGCAGAAAGCCATACGTCCTTGGCCACCTTGAAGTCCGGCACCCATCACAATACCTCGCGAGCACCATCTGCTGCGGCGACACCTTCCCGTGCAGAGCTACTCCCGGGGTTTGTCGCCATAGACAGCTGGGAGGCGGTTCAAGCCAATACATACGTCGTCCTGGGCCACGGGCCGTACCAGCGCCGCGTTCTGATGTGTGGAATGCTCTCCGTCACCGTGGTGCTTTTCCACTACCTTGCGTACAAACTCGTCGGCAAGCAGGTCGATCACTGGTGCATGACCCCGGACGACTTGTCGTTTCTGTCGATAGCCACCTGGAAAAACACTTCCATACCCATCGAAGCTGACGGCAACTACAGCCGATGTACGATGTACGACCCACCTTTGCCGGTAAGCCGTTTATAAAGGCGATAGTCTTCCTTGGGATACACAAAACTTTTTATTTGTTTGTTCGTCTTTGTTCCCATGATTCAGCCACCCGGCGAAAGTTTGATTGAATGGTCAAAGCCAGTCAATCTTGATCTGGTGACTGCGTTCATACGTGTTTACCTTGGCAGCCATAAAGCAAATAATGCGTCTATTGAAGGCGCAATATCGAATACGTACATGTTTGGAAGGGTGTCTTTTTACTTAAAAAAATACTTAGATACGTGATTCTAAAGACCGAAGTTTTTATTACGCTGCGCTGAAAATGTTAAATGCCACATAAAAAGCGTATGTTAAATGTCACATAAAAAACTCGGCAGATACCACGTACCTGGTTACTTCACATGCGGAGAGAAGGTGCCTATATCGTAACGGCGCAACCAAGTTGTTTATTGCGCGCACTGGAAGCGGTAAGCCGGTATGTGTAGCAATTGTGTTTCCGAAGTTGGTAGCCCTGACTGGTTGGGCTTCTTAGGCGAACTGCTACTGACGTTAACTCGACGCGATGCCTGAATCATAGAAGTACATACGTAATGTTAGTAAAGTTAGATAGGCAGAGCTGCTACCACAATTCAGGTTTCACCAACATTACACTTGCACAGGCTCTCTTGCCGGGCGCGGCTTTGTGGTACAATACGTGGTTGCCACGCAGATCGCTTGCGTTCGATTTCTGCCGTGTCAACACGGGCAACATCGACTTTTCTTAACGTTCTCGCACTGAAACTGCCAATGTCAGTTCTCGCCGTTCCAGCACACATAAGAGCTGTCCATCGCATGTAGCGCCTACCCCCATACCACGGCTCGTCCCATTTGGCTATGTGCCTCATGTATTTGAAGAAAAGGGCTTGAGCCTATCGGCATAAGCCTATCGACAAACATCGACCTGTTGAGAGTTCAGCTCGTATCCCTTCTACGTGCTGAGCTCTGAACGCGAAGATACTTAGTAAAGAGCACCTCTCTGCAGAGGCGTCCGCATTCTATTACACCAGCGTTTTGTAGGGTTGCGTGATATGAGATTCAGAATAGTTACACTTCGTATAAGATTACAAATGTTGCTATCACATTCATTGTTTCGCCCTTGCGGTGAAACTGTGTTCATGTAGCGTAAACTACACTCGCCGAGATTGAGCAGTTTCGCGGGGCTTACGGTGAGCAGTTTTGCGCAAGCGCGAAGAGCAGTGACGTCACACGGCGCACAGCTTACTCGCCGAAGGCCTAGAAGCTCAACGTGTTAATAGTGGGATGATGCCTGACTCTCGTGAGATCCCTGGCCCGCTTGTCTGCCTTTCCATTTAGCTCTCCTGGTCGACTTTTAGCTCTCCTGGCCGTTTCAATAGTCGTATCAATAACAAAATCAGTATGGAATAACATGACGGTATAAAGAGCATAATTGACAAGTCATAACATCAAAATTATGACATCGGTGTCATAAATGTCACGATTTACATTTCATGGTCTTGCTGCTCCTGCGATGGTTTCGTTCACATGACATATTGCGAAACTGGTGGGGTATGACATGACTGCATGGCAAGCATAAGTGACGGACCCTAACATGAAAATTATGACAGTGCATGTTATGACCCAACATGCGTGTCATGTTAAAAGACTACATGCCACACTTATGATGCGCTCAAGGTCGTTTCGCTAGCTTCGCATATACCAAATTTGGTATTACGGGGCGTGAAGGCATGACGAAGGTATGTGACTGGTGCAAGCATGATAATCTTGAGATGCGTGTCATGTAACAACATGACTACATGCCATGCTAATGGTGCGCTGGCGGCCGTTTCACTAGCTTCACTTATACCAAATTTCGTATTATGGGGCGCGAATGAATGACGAAGGTAAATGGCATGTCCAAACATGATTTTATTATTTTATTTATTATACCCTCAAGGCCATGGGCATTGAAGAGGGGAGTGGGAGTAACAAGATGTGCAAAACATAGAAACAACAGAGCATGTGTTTAAATAGAAAAAACATAGATTATCCTGATTATACAATATTAGCTAATGCTTGATGAAACAGGTGATAAACGCGTATGGAAACAACATCGGCGGGAAGGTGGTTCCACTCTCGGGATGTTTTTGGAATGAAAGACTCAGCAAAATATTTAGTGTTAGATTAAACAACTCCAACTTTATGATTATGGTCAATTCGACATAATATGTACTGAGGTTGTGAAAGCAGTTCAGCATGGAGAGAAGCATGGTAATAAACCTTATGAAATAAAGTTAGGCGAAAAATGCGACGTCGTGATGCTAAAGATGGGAGGTCAATACTACTTTTCAGTTACACTTGCCGTTCTATTGTAATTTGATAGAATGAAACGGGCTGAATTATTCTGAACAAGTTCAAGTGCGGTGAGTAAGTTGTCGTGGCAAGGATCCCATACTGGTGCTGCGTACTCTAGTTTTGATCTGATTAGTGTTTTGTATAGAAGTCTTAAAGAAGACGGGGCTGAAAAAAAGTTTCGACGTAAATAACCTAGCATGTGGTTTGCCTTGTTAGTAATGTATTCGATGTGTTTCGTCCAAGTTAAATTGTTGGTAATATGAACACCTAAGTACTTGTAAGAGGAAACGATTTCAAGTGGTGTATTGTTCAGGTAATACACCACTGATAATTATGACGATAATTATGATGATAATTATGACATGCGTGTCATGTAAAACTTGACTACATTCTACGCTCATTGTGTGCTTGTGGTTGTTTCTCTAGCTTCCCATATGCCGAATTCGGTGTGAATAGACGATGTATGCAGTACTTGAATAGACGACGAAGATAAACTACACGTCGAAACATGATAATCATGACATGGAAGTCATGCTCGGCATAATTTACGTCCACCTCATAACGTTGTGCTGATTTTAAAGTGACATATCAACCTTCCAAATTCGTGCTTCGCATATCATACATTCCCACTGTACGTGGGATCTGCCTTTTTTTTTTTCATTTCGTGCGCCAGTGGTTACAGACATCAGCGGTGGCGGCTATGCCACCTAAGTCAGCTGTTGTGGTCTAGTGAAAGCTTTCGCATTAAAGTTACGTGCCAGAATCAAACCCAGACATTCTGCGTGGCAACCAGATGCTTTATAATAACGGAGAGCCATGGCAGTTCTTCAAACCCCTTTTTATTCAAACACAATGAGGAGCCACTTTTAAGGATGTGACAACCAGTAGCAGAAAACGCTGAATTGAGCCCGGCTTCGCAGTATGCGAATTGTGCAAAGAGTGGTTGGTTCAAAGCTGCTCACACAATACAGAGGGCTCAGTCATAATTTGTAATCATCATAATTACCCTAAGTATGAGCAGAGCGTGTAGCACCACAGCCACGTATTGCCTTACAGACACGTAGTGATTAGTTCGCCTCTGAGGTGAAGTGCAGGATTACGCTATACCACGTTCCACTCTTAAAAACGGCGGTTAAGGGTCGTCTGATTCTATCTTGTTGTGCCTTTTATGCAGATAAGCCAAGAAAACAGGACCGCTGTTCCCTGCCACCAGTGGGGCTACGACATCGCGAACAAGGCAGACAGCATCGTGAGTCGTTTCGACCTCGTTTGCGACCGCAAGTACCTGTACGACCTGTCCTCGCTCGCACCCATCATCGGTTCCGCTCTCGTAGCGCCCCTACTTGGCTTGGCATCGGACCGTGCTGGCAGGAAGCCGGTGATGCTGATGTGCGCGTTCGTCCAACTCTTGGCCACCGTCGCATGCAGCTTCTCACAGACGTACACGTTCTTCGTCTCCACACGGGTCGTGCTCTTCGTGGCGGCCGACGTCACCTTCCTCAACACATTCATCCTGATCCACGAGGTGACAGGAAATGAGCGTCGCGCTACGTTCACTATCCTGGACACTGCAGTACCGCTCACCGTAGTCCCTCCGCTGATGCATGCGCTTTCTCTTCTGGAACCGCGCTGGATGCTGGCCCAGGCGCTTACCGTTCTCAGCGGGGTCATGCTAGCGGTTTGGTGCTGGCTGCAGGAAGAGTCGCCCGCCTGGCTCATCGCAACACGACACATCGGTAAAGCCGGAAAGGTGGTACTGCTGGCAGCCAAAGAAAATGGTGTGGACGTAGAGAAAGCCCGGACGACCTTTACGGTCATCATGGAACAGCTGTCTAAGCTGGACGAGGATACCCCAAACGCGGCTCCAATAGAGCGTGTATTGGAGGCTGTTAAGACGCGACGTCGCGCAATATCCGCCCTCTTGACCAGGTTCACGTTAGACGCCACTTTCATCGGCGTCACCATTAAAGACGAGGCAACCGGGATCTCTTGGGAGGTGGCAAATGTCTTCGCGTTTGCGGCCTACGTGGCGTCCATCTGCGTTTTCATACGGCGATACGGTGTCAGGGAGTGTCTTTCGGGTCTGCTGGTCATCTTGAGTGGTTTCTGCATTCTGGAAGCGCTAACAATCATCGCCGGCGAACACACGTTGACGCGATTTGTGCAAGCAGGTTTGAAAGTGGCCGTGTCCGGCGCATTGACCGTCGTGTGTTGTTACACGGCAGAGACCTTCCCAACGGCTGTGCGGAATGTCGGCATCAGCTTAGCGCACCTCGCCGGTGGTTTAGGCAACGTCGTAGCCATTGCCGTCATACTCCTTACCGAACCACACGCCGGCCATGTGTTTTACGCTCTGTCAGCCTTCATGGTTCTGCTAAGCGTCGCTGCGATACAATGGCTACCAGAAGTCTACGTTCAAAAACTGCCACGTGCGAAATCGCAGAGCTCGCTGAGCGCCCAAGAACGGAAAGCGGCACTCGTAGCATCACTGAATGCTGGGATTCCGAGCCACAAACGCAGGGAAAGCAGAATGAATTATGGGGTCGCGTATTGACCGTCAACGACACATTACGCCGTTACGAAAAATGCGACTCGCGAGTTTCTTTCGAGTTTACCGACCGCACTAGTTGCGTGTATATCTTTGCGATACGGTGATTAAATTGTTATCAACGGCAGTAAATGCACGTGATAGAGTGTAACAAATATTAAGTTATTCAGCGAAATCTTTAGGCATTCCTGAACACAGGAGCCTTGGCTTTCGTTAGCGTGCGTGCGAACTCTTCGCAATTGACACTTGTGGTTTTGTTTTCACAATACAACTGATTAAAACTGAAGACTAGAAAATGAACGAATCGTAAAATTTTCCCGGTGCGTCAGAAAGGAAGATTAGTTTACCCAATAGGCCATGTCACGGCATTGTACGTCTCTGATTGTGGAACCTATCCAGTGGGAAAGTTGGAGAGGATAAAAATGGGGCGACGCTAAATTTCTTCAAATGAAGTCCTCTGTAACGTTCCTTTGAGGGGCACTTCTGCCGACGATTTTGTGTCCCCTGATGCATATGTCATCGAATGACCCTTACGAACCCCCCTCCCCCCAAAAAACAAAACATAAAAAACTTCTGCGTTGCCTCGTCAGTGTCGGGACACACTCTTTTCCTTAGCATTTCTGATGTTATATTTGTATGGAGTAACAGACGATGCGCGAGTCGACTTCACCCCCGGTATACATTCGTGCGTGTGTAGCATCAAATACTCAACGCTAATAACGACGGGGTCAAAATAAGGATACTTACACAGAGCTTACAACTTATTGCAGCATTTTTGCACATACATACAGGGAACCAGCCACTTCAATATACATGTCAAAAGCAGACTAGCACTTCACGAAATTCCCTGTTCAATTTCTTCGATATGAATTTCCTGTGAAATTTCCTGTAGCACTTCGCGAAACGAAACGAATGAGACTTCAACTAACTTTGTGTCTTATTAGTGCTCAATAACTTAACATTACAAAATTACATCTTTGTTATTATTATTCCTAATCTTGCTCACTTGTAGTCAAGATAACGACTACACTGTCAGGTCTTAACGGGAGAAAATAATTATTGCCCTCTTTTAGTGTTACGTACGTTATTTTGGCGATATGTATTCAATACTGAAAATGTCTCACTAACCCGTGAAATCGATTCATTTTCAATCTTCCCGAGTGGGTATGAGCCATATTCTAGGCATAATAATACTAATAATCATAATAATAATCAGTGAGCGAGCTCTCGGTATGCTACGGATGGCTCTGCTATCCATCGCTTCGCCTGAATTACAGCAATTGCTACGACTGCATATGATGACAGCATACGGCTGCCCGCGCCCATACGAAAAACGCTGCAGAGCTGGAAGAGTGGCATTTATAGAGCCAGTTGTGAATTATCTTGCGAGGTACCCACTACGCCATAAATTATCTTTTTTTTTTTCAAAATATGAAGCACCCACCAGTCCATTGTTCATCATTCAGGGGCATGAGAGGTAGCCGCCACACAACTAGCTACAAGGCATCTTATGCGCTTTGTTGATGCAATGAGAGGTAGATTGACGTATGTGTATAATTTAGGTAGTGGTGTGTAATGCGTGGGCTTACCAGGCACGCCCGCCACACTGGTCTCTAATGGGTAGCTTATGGACCGACTTAATGTGCGCACTTATGTTATGTGGCATACATCACATATAAAAAAATCACAGCATATATCCGCGGATGGAATAATAGAGAGTTATAGTATACCGGGCTTACCGAGTTACCGGGTATACCGTGATACCGGAATCGAAGTGCGCATGCGCAGATACGTGCGTCACACGTACCGCTTCCTGTACCGCTTCAGATTTCACGTTACCATGGTAGCGTAGGTGTACGTAGTGTACGTAAACATGGCGACGCTCTCAGACGCCCGCTTCGAAGTGATTTTGGCGTAGTTGTTGAAAGATTCACCTTATTCGCAACAAACGACTGTTCAAAGTGGCTTCGCTTGCCTTCAGTTAGCTTCGATGACCGAGTATTACGGATAAGTTGGCGTAGTTTTTGAAATAGCTTCCCATTTCGAACGCGCCTAGGCCTAACTACAAGATCGATGTAAACAAATCGGCAACGTAGATGTTTTCGCGTTTGGTGCGTGGTTCATATTAATTTACTTTTATTATCACTAAAATAAACATCTAACAATGCTTCGCGCGGTGTCATAGGCAAACATTCTCGTTTTCTTTTCATTTTCACTGTTTAACTTACTAACCATGGAACAGATGGCGCCATTATCCCAGCTGGGGCACGTAAACCACGTGAACGCTATTCCGCTAAACTATAATACCCGTGCCACACGGTCATAGAAAATGACATTTGGTGGCGAAGGCCTTCAGTTCCCGAATGACATTTGTTTCGCCGGCGCTGCTATACGTCCAAAGCGAATGACATTTGACTTGATGATGGCGATCACAGCACCTTCCAAGTGAGCATTGAGTGAATAGCAATAAAAAAAATTAAGAAGCATTTACAAGCTTCATACACATCAGATAATCATCAAATGTAGAAATAAGCGTACTACGCTCTCCTAAGTTTTAGTTTCTTGCTTTGTTTTACAACGTTGCAGCCGACCGTAGCAACCTAAGCCAACACTAGTCAGATCCACAGCGTTATTAGAAAATGGCGTCTGTCGCATCGGCATCGCACCCGCATCGCACCTGTCGCATCTCTCAGAAGAAGATGTTCGCAGAGTTCGTTTTTTCACGGCAGCACTTGTGTGTGGGAAAACGTTAAATCGTCAAAGTGTGAACTGATGAAAAAAGCAGAGAAAGTCACGGAGGAAGGAAAAAGGTGAGAAAGTGAACTCGATGACGATGGCGATGAAAATATCAGTGTTGCATGCTTGTTTGCCAAAGTTTCGCTAAAATTGACAAGCGTTTCATTATCAATACTTTATTTTCTTCGTATAACGTTCAAAGCATCTTTTTAAGACTTTAGTGCAAATAAAAGACGGGAAATTTCATTTTTAGCTCAATATGATTTGTTTTATATACTTTCAGGTAAATCGCACTTCGCGAGCTGTGTTGTCGAGAGTAGGCTTTTCTCAGTCAACTGAGTTCTGGCGAAGGCAGTTGGTGGCGAATGGCATTCGAATGGCATTCGCATGAATGCCATTTTGTTCGCCCGTGTGGCACCGCGCGAATGGCAATAAGTCTGAAGGCATTCGGGGGTAAATGCCATTTTTTCTGCCCGTGTGGCACGGGTATAAGACGCTTCCCACAACGAACGTTTGCTGCACGGTAACGCCATTCCCTCAACCTACGCTATCACGCTAACGCTAAACTATAACTGTATAATGATGAGTGAAGCCAAGCATTCATCAGTCCGTCCGCGCTTCCATATGTTCGTTCTTGCTTCCGTCCATCCATGCGTCCGCCCGTGCGACCATCCCTGCGACCACCCGTACGTCCGTCTGTCCGTTCGCGTGTCTGCTCGTGCGTCCATCCGTGTGTCCACGCATCCGTCCATCCATCCATCTCCTTGTCTGTGCGTCCGTCTGTCCATCCGTTTTTCTAGAGGACACTTCAAGTACCGCCATCTCGCATCTTTTCATCATATATTCATCATATAGAAGTACCGCCATCCAGTGGACGTTCCACGCTACCGCGGTGGTCTAGTGGCTAAGGTACTCGGCTGCTGACCCGCATGCCGCGGGATTGAATCCCGGCTGCGGCGGCTGCATTTTCGTTAAAGGCGAAAATGCTGTAGACCCGTGGGCTCAGATTTGGGCGCACGTTAAAAAACCCCAGGTGGTCGAAATTTACGGAGCCCTCCACCATGGCGTCTCTCATAATCATACGGTTGTTTTGGGACGTTAAACTCTATATGTCAATCAATCAATCAGTGGACATTTCAAAAACTAAACGAGAGGTGGTTACCTACCACCACCACCACCACCACCGCTACTACTACAGCATACATCGCGGACGCACGACCCACGACATAAGGAGCTTCGCCCCTGAAGAACCATGTCCACTAAGTGAACCTGGCTTTTTTAGACAAAAAATTGGCTACGTATCTGCGTGATTTGCGGCAAATGTCGTCGAAAGATGTTCCCCTTCTCTGCAGCCGGCCGTGCTACACGCCGTCCGAGATCGTGAGTTCGGAATTAGGTCAAGGACATCTTTACTTGGTTTTCGCTTGACGTCGAAGGCAACGCATCTCCTTCATTATTAATAATAATAATAATAATAATAATAATAAAGACGAAACAACAATTAAGCCTTGCCGAACCACACCCAATTACTCAACATTCGCGTGATAGTCCCCCTCCCCTCTGCGACGCATTTACTCGAGTTCCCCGGGATAAGATGCGGGGGCAATTCTTTCGTGCATAGTGTCACATTTTCAACGCAGCCTAGCAAACACTGAGGTCTTTGAAATTACACATCTACGCATTTTCTAATAAAGCAACACACCACATAATACTTACGTTTTGATGTGTCGCGCCTCAGATATGCGTAATATTTGCTTTTTGATCGACAATGTTCCCAAACTTGTATGAACGCAGATAAGCGTTCAAGATGGCTGGGCGTTCAGCAAGTGCTTAAGCTGCAACCGGGTGGCTGAATCGCGTGCCAGAGAGACAAACAGGCCAAAATTTCTTCGCTCAAGTATCCCAAGGAAGACAATCGTCCCTTTGTCCAACAGCAAAAACGAGCGTTAAACCTCGAATCACGGCATTTCTTAGTGGTAGAAAAAAAAATCAAGCTTCTAAAACATAAAATAGAAATTTCAGACAAGCAAATACACAAAAGTAATACAACATAGTAATCATTTCACTACATCTTGCTGCGAATCGGTCACCCAGAAGTACATGGCACCGACAGATGAGCATGCTTACGATGTAATCGCTTGTCTCTGCTACATATAGCCGAGACAGGCGATTCTGAATTACTGCCACATCCGTTGGTGCATCAAAAGCAATTAAATTCCAGTCGAAATATTGAACTGGCAGCTATGAAAAAATCATTGGTGACACGCTAG